TTGAATTTTGGTCTAGGCAATGGAAAAACGATTAACTTTTCGGACTGTTAAAAGTCAGTGATAAACGATAAACACAGAGTTTAACAGAAGCCCTTTGACTTTGATTCGTCAGAGACAAAAACATAAAGAACAACTTCTACCAAATGTTACGAAACTCAAATGTGGCTACGAACTTAGAAAGCTAGCTGCTCTTTGAAGCCGCACAAAAGCACGGATGTGCTTTGAGCTAAATGCTAATGCCAGCATGCTAACATGCTCATGATGATGAAGCTAATATGCTGATGTATACCCTGCTCACCATCTTAGTTTAAATGTTACCAAACCCAAATGTGGCTTCACAAATAAACAGGACTAAAAGAGAGCTAGTGGCACTGTGAGGCTGCAGAAGAGCACCGTGGTGCTTGGAGCTAAAGGCTAATGTCAGCATGCTAACATGGTCACAATGACAAAGCAAATATGCTGATGTTTAGCATCTTGGTATAATGTTTACCATGTTCACCATCTCCGTGGGAGGAAACCGGAGCACCCGGAGAAAACCCACGCTGACATGGGGAGAACATGCAAACTCTGCACAGAAGGGCGCCACCCCACCCTGGGGTTCGAACCCCAGGAATCCCCTTGCTGTGAGGTGACAATGCTAACCACTGCATCACCGTGCCGATTTGCTAGTATTTGGTCATAAGCTAAAGTATCAGACAAATGAAAACCTGATGATGGCGCTAGATGAAATCTTAATGGAATCACTAAAGCTATTACAATTCATCCTAAAGAGGGCCATGAATCGCTGTACCAAATTTCAGGGCAATCCGTACAATAGTTGTTGAGACATTTTACACCCCACAAATAACGTCAACCTATTGGAGGCGCCAAAAGAAAAGTCAGAGGATCACCAAAGTTTTCAGGATTCATCCTCTGGCAACCAGGAATGGGTGTATTAAACTTCAAGGCAATCCATCCCATAGTTGTTGAGATGATTTACACTACACAACAAACATCCACCTATTGTTGGTGCCAGAGTAAACATCAGAGAATCATCAAAATTTTCAGGATTTATCCTCTGGCGACCGTGAAGGTTTGTGCCAAATTTCATGGCGGTCAGTCTGATGGTGGAGATATTTCAGTCGGGACCAAAGTTGGGGACTGATTGACCAACACTGCCGCCCACCACTCTCTGGATGGATGAAATCTTAACTGCAAAATGGGCCCACTTCAATTCAAAGTGTAGCTTATATACCAGTGTTAAAGTATTTAAGAGTGGACTTTCCCGTTAACAGTACAATAAAAAGCTTGATCCGGCCTAGGTTAACTGGATGTTTTATGCAAAGAAACATGCTCACGGTTTGTAAACTATTAAACCTCCTCACACAATTGCAGGCATTAAAGGACTATTGAATGTTTTGGTAACCTTAAGACTTTGCTTGCAAAAGAGTAGAATAGGAGTTGTACAGTATAGTTGGTCAAACATGTTTTTTTTTTTCAGTTTTAAACCAAAAACATTGGGTAACACACATTTATTTTCTCCTTACCGAAACGGCACACTTTCGTCTTATCAAGTGTCACTCAGCGCATCCGTCATGCAGATTCAAAACAAGAATATCAGGCTCTTGTTAAAACACCCTGACTTGTCACTATCACAGAGTTCAGTTTTTTAGATTAAGTGATTTGTTGGGAGGATATGTTACAGTGCAGTTTTCCTACAGACGTAAATGCATAGGATACAAATCAGTCCAACACTACAATATACGGCGAGCAATACAAAAGAAAAGAAAAAAAAAACGGATCACGCAAACTGTGATCGAAATAAAAGTCTTGGTCGTTGGCACTGGGGTTGGAATGGAGCATGGTGGTGTGGGGAAAGGAAGGAGGGAGGTAGCGGGTCAGGGAGAAATGACTAGTCATACACTGATAGATTTTCATGTTGTCGGGGTTGGTTCTTTTTCTCTTTTTATCCTACGGCTTTGATAACAACAAAGACGGGGGAGGGGCAGAAACAGACCCACAGACATTCTGTACACACCAACACTGAAGTCCTTAGCAAATTTTCAGAATAAAAGCACTCTCTTTAAAAGTGAGAGCTGTTTTGATTAACTTGACGCGTGTTGCTGGCATCTGTCTCCGCCTCGCACACGCACAATCTCTCACAGTTGTGAAAAACTTTGGGGTAAACACAAAGTCCGCTAAGGCTTCAGCGTGGGGGGAAAAGAGACACAGTGTTCAAAAGAGCAGTTATTATAGTTTAGTTTCAACAGTCTTGCTAGCTATTATATGTGGCGGGGAATGGCATAGTCAGCGGGTTATGAGTCGTGTTCATTAGAGATCCTTGTCGCAATCTACTTTATGTACAGTTTATTAAAGGTCATGTTTTATTATCACATGCCATGTTTGCTCTCTGACATTTTCTCCTTTCGTTCACTTTGATCTGCACCTATTTTCTTATTTCCAGAGGCCTTAGTTTGTCCTCCTTCCTACAGTGAAAAATCACAGGTCAGTTATCTTCTGTGCAACAAATGAAATGGCAACAAAGGGTAGTGTTTGTCTCAAAGTCACGTGACACAACATTTTCACACAGTCAATATGATATCCAATATAGTCTCTCTAAATATACTCTTGTATTCTCTAATGAAATCCAAAGTAGATGTGCTTTTCGTGCTTGTTAAGTATTTATTTTATCATAATTTGTCACAGAGAGACGCCGAGTAGTTCCAGATTAGATATAATTAGGGTCTTTAGTTTCAAAAACGGAAATGGTGAAACTGAACGTACAGTGGAAAATCCAAGTGTCCTCTGTGGAACACACACTGCAGGTCAATATATATTATTTCTGCTATATTTTCCTCTAATATATTATTTGTATATTTACATCTCTAGCCAGCTCATACAACAGACTTTCATGCTAACTGCTCTCCTTGATGAAAAGAGAGCCTATTGGACAGGGAACATCCATAGTATAGAAATAATTGCTATAACTTTCCCATCTAAATATTTTCTCTAAATAACTTGCTATGATTATAAGCTAAAGGCAAATATTGGCGTTTTCTATGAAAATCAACTTTAAATATCTTCTAAAATATCACTTTGTTTTTGCTCTTGAGACATATAATTATCTGCGTGAGAGTAAAGGGAATGCATACAGAACCTCTATGAACCTCGGTGACTCTCCTGTCCTTTAAGTTTGACTTAAAGTTTAGTTTCAAACGGCGACCTCATGGCAATGTGCCCGTGTGATGTTACAATGGCCCCTGGTCTTCCCTAGTTATACTTTCATAAACTATGTGGGCTTATTAAGTAATAGTTTGACATTTGGGAAAAAAAAACTTTCATTTGCCTTTTTGCCATGAGTTAGATAACAAGATCAATACCACTTTTAAGTAGTGAAGTAGTAAGTAAGTAAATATGAAGCGGCTAGCTGAGCCGATTAGCTTAGCTTAGCACAAAGACAAGAATCTGGGAGAAATACTGTGCTGACTTTGTTCAAAGCTAATTAAATCTGTCTAGCAGCACCTCCAAATCTTACTAACAAACAATGTATATCTCAATTATTTATTCCTTCTAAAAATACTGTTTAAACAAGGCTAGAGCAGATTAGCTTAGCACAAAGACAAGAAACTGGGAGAAATACTAGGCTTCGTTAAAAGCTAGTAAAATCTGTCTACCAGCACCTCAAAAACTCACTAACAAACATCGTATATGTAATTTATTTATTTATTTCCTATAAAAAACAACAACGAAAAAACAAACCAACAAAATCAAAAACTGTGTTAAAACAAGGCTAGAGTGGATTAGCTTAGCTTAGCACAAAGACAAGAAACTGGGAGAAACTGCTATGCTAGCTAACTAAAGCTGACAAAATCTGTCTACCAAAACCTCTAAAGCTCACTAATTAACACAATATCTATTCCCAATGAAAACCAAAATGTAAAATCAGGGCTAGAGCTAATCAGCTAAGCTTAGCACAAAAAATTGGATAAACTGCTACCATGGCTCTAACCAAAGCTAACGAAATCTGTCTACCAGCATCTCTAAAGCGCACAATATATCTAACTTATTCATTCCCTATAAAAATCAAAGTGTTAAAACAAAACTAGCTAAGCTACATGTTTCTAGTCTTTATGCTTAGCTAAGCTAGCTTGCTTTTGGCTGTATCTTCATATTTAAAAGACAGAAATGAATGGGATATTGACCTCCTCATCCAAGTCATGGCAAAAAAGTGAATAAACTTCTGTCCCCAAATGCTGAACTATTTCATTCACAAAAACACACCTGAACTATTTACGCAGCTACACAGTACAACAAGCACCCTCAGTCATATGTGTGAGATTTAGATTAGTTTTGAATATTGTTTTTTAATTATGTATTTACATGTTTTAGTTTTATTTTATCCCCAGATAGTGGTTTTGATATTTTGGCTAATTTGAATGCTGAATTATGTTAGTCATAGTGATGTATCACTGTACAGAAAATGCATACAAAGCTTAACTGTTTCCGTGGTAACCTACGGACTTTCTGAAAAAATAAACTTTGCCATTTCATGTTGTTATTAAGTTCTGAAGGCAGGGTTTGTAGTTTTAAATTCTTCGTGGGTACTTTAACTATAACAACCTTAACTGCTATGCAGACACACACACAGACACACACACAAACACACACACACACACACAGGGTTGCATAAGCACAGCATCACAGATTGAACAGTGTTTACAGATTACACTCATTCTGAACTGACCCACTCAGCGTCTGAATCGAGGGTAGACTTTGGCGCTCTCTCTCCTCACACACACACTGTCGGTCCGTCTCCACATCTCTTCTTCTAACGTCTTTTTTTACCCCGCAGCTTCCAACCTCCCCTCAGCTTGGGAAGAGACTGCATCGCTACGATCTGATTGGTTGCTTGGTCGGTGGCTGTCTGCGCGGTTCTGTGTCACAGCATGTGTTAGTGCAAGGAGGGTGCGTGGCTGGATGTGCGTGGATGTGTTTATATGTGTGTGTGTGTGTGTGGCAGGTGTGAGGGTGGGTGAGGTGGGGGAGTGATGGGGTTGGTCAGAAACGGTTGGTCGGTTGATTGGAGTGCCAGGAGTGAAGAAATCAAGGTGCAAAGATCAGGGCTGAGGGTCGACACCTCACACCTTTTTAGGGGGAGGGGCCAACTTGATGATCTCGTCTTCAGAGGGCTGGCGGATGATGTCTTTTAGGGGGGAGGGGTTGGAGAAAGAGGGTGGAGGGGAGAGAGACAGAGAAAGAGATCATAAGAAACCCATACTTGAAACCAAAAAAGTTGTAGCCAAGAAAAGTGAAAGAGAGCACAACACTTCTTCTATGGATCAAAACTGGAGGAATCTGCCCATAAATGCCCGCCACGCAATTGTACGCAAAGGCACAATCTTAAAGAACTCTTCCATTTCAAACCTCATTTTTGATACTATATACCACTTGATGTATTTACATTCTGTAACTACCTTGCTGTACAGTAAATCTATTTATTAGTGGTGGACTCCGCCATTCCTGTGTGGGATTTAAATCACCTACGTAACCAAAAGGGAATCACAGGAAATGATGCATGCACACAATCCAGCGTTGCTGTTTTTTCAACCCGTTCTCATTCCTAGGTTGTTAAATACTGATGCTTTGTCACGCCACTCTGTGTCTCATTGCATCGCGCAAGGCAACCGTTAGCGCCTTTATGTGATGTACAGCTGAAATGCATTGTAATACGCAATTGAAGTTGTGAGAGGGTTATGGTGTAGTTGATGCAACAAAAATTGAGCATAGGGATGTCAAGCTCAGCTCACATCCCAGCTACATCAGCTGATCTCAAACAGCCCAATCAAGTGATGGATCAGCTGATTGATGGAAGGGAGTCAGCTGATAGATCACATGGTTCCTTTCCATGCTGCCAATTGGCAAATCTCATTCAGGGCGCCCTATTTAAACTGCTCTGGCCTGCCTACTGTTGCTGCTTCCTCTGCAAGCCACTTTGCAACCCACCTCCTCCCCAACTCCTCCTTTTCATGCTGGGTCTGACTTATGTCTTTTCTGTTTGTCACTGATGCTGCTCTGTTCTGTTCCTGGCAGGTCTTTGCTGCTGCTCTCCCTGCCTTAGGCTTTCTGTGTAGGCACGTGGAAGGGCAGGGAGGTTTGGTCTCTTTGCCTCAGGCTTTCCCTTATTTGCATGTGGAAGGGCAGAGAGGTGTGCTCTTTCCACCTCAGGCTTTCCATGTAGGAGTGTGGGAGAAGCTTTCTGCGTAGGCCCGAGGAAAGGCAGGGGGACCCCATAACAGAGCCATTCCACCAAATATAATACCGCAAATGGAAGTTAAGTTTTCTTTGACTTAAGTGTTGCTGACTGAACTACTTAGTTAGGTTTAGAAAAAACATGTTTTGGGTTAAAATGAGTAGATTTGTTACACAATGCAACGTAACGTAATGTAACATAAATAAGTCACGTGAGTGATGTCAGTGCTCGATGATGATACGTAACTTGTTTAACGTTATGTTAAAACAGTGTTGACTTTTGGTCTCACACGGGATGAGAATTTTTGTCTCCTGGATAAAGGTCCAGTTTTGTACGACCCATCCACCTCCCACCCTATCCAGACTCTTTATACTACATCAGTTGCCATCAGCCTTAAGTATTGCCACAGATGGGTTTACACTGGAGTCAGTTTGAAGTCCAGTGCGTCTCAAAGGTGCTATGGCTGCCTTCAATGTTGGAATCACACACTAGGGGTGTGATAATTCATTGGTGTTTGATGCCCCTGGAATCAGAATGGACTGGTGTTTGTTTTTCACACATATCAGTCTGTCCAGCTACACTTACCCCGCTAACACAACACCAGAGCTGTGTTAAGCAGTACTTCCTGCTGCTTCACATTAAAAGCATTAAATAGGTGTAACATGGGTTGACTTTTATTGTGAAGCAGTCAGAGAAAATGTACAGTATTTATCATTGATGTTTGCACAGACCGCCATCGTTCATCGAAAATGCTTCTACAAACACACAAAAGGTCAGTTTTTGTATTTATTGATTTTTTTAAGATGATAATAATTATTATTTTTCAAAATAAAAAAAAATAAAAATAAAAATGTATTATTAAATAAAGCAACAAATACCAATACAACATAATGGAAAATTGTAAAAAAAAAAAAAAAAAAAAGGAATACAAAAAAAAAAATTAAAAAAAGCCCAAATCATTGTAAAACAGTGAATGTTGTCAAGTTCTTTTAGTGTACATCTGAAAAATGATGCTTCCTGAAAAGAACCGTGCTAAACAGACATTTAATCATTTTTAATAGCGGGGGAACTGATGTATTTTATTTGGCCGTTGCACCTGTGTTTTTATGGTGTTTTAACTCAACCTGGCCTCAAGCTAAATTTCCCCTGTGAACTGAACTGAGCCAGAAAAAAAGTTGTAGACCAGAAATAAATCTAATAAAAGGCAGCACAAAGCCGAGAGAAGAGGAGAAGGAACATTTTATTGCAACATGACCCTCCTCTTTAAAACAAGCCTCTTTGGTTCTTACAATTACTTCTGACTGAAAATCCTATAAAATAAATAATTAAACCAGAATGCCTGTAAGATAAAGTCAAGATTTATTCTTTAAAAATCACAATTCATCAGACTTTTTCAATGGATTTCTCTTTTTAATAGCTTATTCACTTTATTTCGTTGCCATTTTATGTAAGAAGACTAAAGAGTTACAAGGAGTAGTGTTTGAACTCTTCGCCTGTGAAATGGGACAACCCTTCAAGACCCTGACACGTCATCAGTCGTCTTCAATGGCGCGCACGTTAACAGACACAACCATAGCAATAAAGGTATTATCACCATATTCATAATTTATCTGATGGTGATAGAAAAGCATGGACACTTGCAATTCATTGACTAAGTCCTGCACTGTCGATCGATTAAACAAGTCATAAAATAAAAAAGAAAACTGTTTCATTACCAGGCCATAGTGCTCTGTAGGGTAACGTTACGTTAACAGCTACAGGAGGCTCCTCCAAATCACAGCTCTGCAGATGAGCACAATGTTTGTATCATCTGAGAGACCTCTCTGTCAGTTTGCCTGTTTGTCTGTTTGAGCCTCGGCATTCTTTGTCTCTGTTGTGAAATTAAAGCACTATTACACATCTTAATACAGGCAGTCTAATGTGGGCAATAACCCAACGTTAAGTTTAACAACAAGTAAGATAGTGTGGCGTAAAAACACACCGTCTCCCTCCAACTCTCTACCAGATTCAGGTTAACCAGCTGCCCGGTGTGAGCGGAGACAGATGCCGAACTGCTTCCCCACGTCAGCAGGTCTTATTAAACCAAAACTCAGTAGATTTAAATAACTCATTCATGTTTTAAGAACCCTAATCTGAAGCTTAAATCTGCTAAATGCCAACTATATAATGTGTCATATTTCTAATCTCTTGTCATGTTTAACTTACATGTTTCAAAGGCTTCTGTGTATTGTGAACCTAACAGAGCACAATACAAATTAAAATTGTAATTTCTGATAATGACAAACAACATTTATGTGCATTATCTTATAAGCACTACTAGCAACTAGCAGGTATAGATTTTGTTAGTACCTGCGAAAACACTAGAGCTACTAACATATTGATGTATGCCGAAATACACGTAAATTTCCGACTGCAAACAGTTTACACACAAATTCATTCTGCTCAAGTTTCATGAATGAGACCCAAGGAGTGTAACTGGGATTTAACCTTAATGGCATTTTTGAGAACTTTTTGACCATTTTTATGAATTCGCAAATGGCAAAAAATCCTTAAATTTAGCACCAAATTTGTGTACCACATTATATCAAAACAAAAATTGCTGCAAAAACATGTGAGACATAACTGAGCATGGAAAGATCCATCATAATGTTCTAGTTGTTTCAAAGTTTCAATTATTACATATCTATGACAAGAAAGACTTGACACACAGTGCTGAGCTGCATCTCAAATTAATCTTCAGGTTTCCAGCTTTCAGACGATGCATGACTCTTCTACGTGGTGTATACTGTTGACGTGTTATCGCCCTCTAAAGATCCCCTGTCCCCCCGAAAAAAGGCAATAATGAGTCTATGCAGGTCTCAGAGGATTAAGACAGTTTTCTGTTTTGCCAATAGGGGGCAGAACTTGACTAGATTTGGGAGACCAGGAAGCCAATCAGAGTAACTTCTGCCAAATCACAGATCCAGTTATGTCCAAAGAAGGGGTAAAATTGGCCTGATATTTTAGTAAACTGATCTCTAACCTTTTATATACACATTCTGTTACCTTTGTATTTCTTGGCTGAGGGGATGCGTGTGAGCTTGGTGTCGATCTCGTCGTCCTCAGAGATCTTGAGCACGGTGGTGCGGTACTCGATCACCCTCGTCAGCAGGTCCGGTCGCCGTGAAATCTCAAAGATGTGCTCGATGTACGACAGATTATCTGCACGAGAAGGGTCGTTAGCAGCGAAACAGCCTTCGGATATGTCATACAAAGATGTTCTGGTCATCAGTTGACGCATGATGGATGTGGAAATAAGAAGAGACAAACTACTCTAACACATTTACACCCACGTAGATTAAATATAAGCTAAATGATGTGATTGAATGTTGGAGCTCAGTCTGTGTTTCTCACCTTGGGCCAGCTTGTCGTTCTTCTCCAGGTAGCTGAACCACTCCTTGGAGGAGGTGATGTTGTTGCTCTGGTCCTCAGGGATGTCCTCCTTGCAGGCCGACTTGAGCTGCTCCAAGTCTTCGTTGGTGATGTTTTCAGACAGGTCGCTGAGCAGAGAGCTGTACTCCGCCATGGTCTGGTTAGAGACAGAGAGAGAGAAAGCAGTTAGATATACTGAATAAGCGAATGCCAAAGCAAACAGAAACTAAAGGGGAGAGAGCAACAGAAAAAGAAGAGCGACTGAAAATATCCACGTGTTGTTGAATTGCTCAGTGTGCAAACAGCCCACCTACTTCCCAGACTCTAGAATGGAAAGTTAAGAAATCTAATGATGATAGCATACTGTCAGAGTGGGACGGAGAAGCACAGAGACCAGATGATATCAAACAGGCCAATCCTCTCTCTTTGTACCTGAAAGAAGAGATTGACTGGAAAGACTGGATGGGACAAAATGGGACATAACATTGTACTGCACCTTAATGGACATCCAAAAGGGGTCTACGCACTCAGAAAGGGCACTTTCTAATGTCACAATGAAAGGACAACTACGCAGGTTGATTTTAGCGCTGCTCATCGTGGACTATATTGCTGTCATTGTTCATTTTAGTCAAACCATACAGTTTGAAAACGAGGAGCGACTCCAACTAGAAAACAATGTTTTGATGCATTGGATGTGCTGAATGTGCATATTAAGGCAGTACAGGAGGAGGTGCACATTAATAATCCTCCAGGACTGTAACATGCTCATGTTTAACCCAAACAATGTGTCATGTGATGGTTCAGATCGAGGTCGGAACACGTTCTCACCACAAACGAACCGCACCAGAGTTCGTCTGTAACTAGACCTAGACCACGTCTTCAAGAAGGTCCCGGTTGATTTGGTGCGCACCAGAGTGTGATTGCTGCGTTCACACCTGCCCAAATGAACTGCACTTAGGGTGGCAAAGAACTTGAGTTCGAGTGAACTGAACCAAACAGGGCAGAAAGCACCGGTCACTGAAAAGCAACAGTCACTGGAAGACAGCTGGGTACCCCACTGAGGTAAAAGAGGGCAAGCAAGTTCCCTCCAACCACCAAAGCACCCCTGAAACCCCTGCTAGAACATCCTGTCGGTAGTGATGGCCAAATGAGGCCTCATGAACCACTGTCTTTATTTTCTGAAGCCACCAGATGGCGCTGTCTGTTCAACAAAGGTTTGAAAGCACACTTCATTGCAGGTCCCTCAGCCTTTATCTTTAAACCAAGACTGCCATCTGGTGGAGTCAGAAAATAAAGAAAGTGGTTCATGAGGCTTCATTTGGCCATCACTATCTGTCAGTGTCGGGCCTACACACTTGTAACATGGTCATGGACGGGCGTCCGTCGCAAGCCCGAGGGTCAGAGAAGGAGGGAGAGGGGGAGGGAACAGTAGACTATGCTGCACGCTATACAGTGCCAGAAACAGGCTGTGATAATGAAAAGGAAAGAGAAGGTGTGAAAATCTGTCATAAATTGGGAAGAGTACGGCCCAATTATGACCCAGGTAGGAAACCAAGTGAGGGCAAGAAAAACTAGAGTCTCCCAGAAAAACAGCAGAGTTGGCAAACATGTTTTGAGAACCGTGTCCAGACAATTTATGAGCTCTGAATTTCACATAGAGCCCCTTTGAATCAATCACACATATACAGGTCTGCTGCTGTAAATACTCACAAGAGCACCAAATGTGTATTAATTACATCTGAAAATAGTCTCCAGCAGATGCACTACTTCTTCCTGTTTGAGTACAGTTTGCTATTAATTACAGTGGCCTGCTGTTTTGGTAAATTACTCAGGCTTTATATAGCTATATGTTACATCTTCAGAAGGGGCTTGCGGCAGCAAGGAACAGAGGAAAAGGACTATGGCATTTTCAAGGGTGTGTTGACGGTAAGAAAAATACAGTATCACATTGGCCTTGTCCTTTAAACTCTGTACCCTTCACATATATTAGGAAGTACATTAAAAAGCGACCTACAACATCATGTGTGAATGGCTATGATTTGCCTTCATCAAATCATCTCAGGCTCTAGAGAACATTTCTGCAGCTCTCTGTCTCCCTCTACTGGCCTCATTGAAGAAGAGCAGTTCTGTGCTTATGCAGAATCACAGAACATTCAAGAACTTTATTTTCATTATGCAAGCGTAACACAATCGCAACCTAAATTGATGCACTGTATTAATGACTATGCACACATGCGTTCAAAGAATAAAATAAGGCACACATGACATCAAAGATAATACATATTCAATGATAAAAAGCACAGGTTCTAACCAATATAGTCAAGTTAAATATTGCTTATTCAAATTCAGTATTCCTGCTATCAGATACATTGTTTTTGTCTGTGTTACCTCACATGAAAATGATATCAAGAGGCCCAGAGTTTCACATTCTGCACATCCCTAGGAAAAAGATTTAATATATCGGATGGGTACTCTGTATCTGCAGATATGTGATACAAGTTCAGAAAAAAAAAGTCAGATAGGTGCTTTCCTACTTATAGGTTTCCCACTTGGATAGAAAAAGATCACAGGCAGCTCTGTATGCATGCAAGATATTAAAATATGTGACTTGTTTTCAGATTTAGACCTGAAATGAGAACAGTGGTTTAAGGATTCAGTACATAGGCATGCAGTGGTTACGGATCAGGCTTGCTTTAAGGAATGAGTGTTGTCAGGATCGCAGGGTTTAGGTTATCCTCACAAAGATAGAGTATTTGCCTGTGTGTGTGCAAGTGTGTGGGAGTGTGTGTGTTGGCATGCGGGTTGTTCAGAAACAGGCAGCCAGCGAGAAACAGACATAAAAGAAGCACAGTGAAAGAGAGGCAGAGAAACAGACAGAGTGATTCAGGCGTGTTGTGAGGCCGTCTGCTTCGTTCAGCTGCCTCAGTTTGGAAGAAAACAGATCGGGAGGCAAACGCAGGCTTCAGATTGCAGCTCTGATCTGGGTTATTAACATATTTGGGTCAAGCTATTCATATTCATCTTCATATCCAGATGATTGCAAGTATTGGTGCATATTACTGCAGATGTTTAATGGTGGTTTGCACAATGTGAAGAGAAACAAACAAATCTGTGTGCAGGAGGTGAATAAAATATCGTTTATATAAAACCGACTCTTAGATCAAAATTATTTAGCAACAATTAAGATAATTCATTAATCCTGCAAGTCAAGCAAAAAAGTCAAAATTCACTACATTCTCCTTTGGTTCAAAAAATGAATATTGCTTTTCTTAAGCCTTCTCAATCAAACGGTCAAGGTCACTTATAAAATAACAACATCAGCAACCAAGTATATGTGTTACTCTGATGTTAGCATGTAGCTACATGTAGCACTGTACTTGCAGTGGGGGAAATTACTGTAATGGATAATAGTGGCACTTTCTCCCGTAAAAAAATAACAAATAAATCACCAATAAAAGCTTCTAAATACAATTGAACACGTTCCAGGAGAAGTATGATATGAAATCGAGACGTAATTAAAAAACATCAGTAACCAAGATTACATGTTTCCCTGATGTTAGCATGAAGCTATATGTGGAAATATACTTGCAGTTGGGGAATGACTGTAATGGAGAACAGCAGCACTCTCTACCGTAAAGACAAATCACCAATAAAAGCTTCTAAACACAACCAAGCAACCAAGATTAGATGTAACTACATGTAGCAGTGTACTTGCAGTGGGAGGCTCACTGTAACAGAGAAGAGTGGAACTTTCTACCATAAAAAATAAATTAAAAAAATCATCAATAAAAGCTTCTAAACACAGTGTTCTGGCAGGAATCTGATCCAAAATTAGGGAGAAACGAACAACATCAGCAACCAAGAGTACATGTTTCCCTGATGCTAGCATGTAGCTACATGTAGCAGTATACTTGCAGTGGGGGAATGACTGTAACAGAGAACAGTGGCACTTTCTACTGTAAAAAATAAAATCACCAATAAAAGCTTCTTACCACAACTGGACATGCTCCAGCATAAGTATGACATGAACAACATCAGCAACCAAGATTACGTGTTTCCCTGATGTTAGCATGTAGCTACATGTACATTAGCAGTGTACTTACAGCGGGGGAATGACTGTAACAGAGAACAGCAACACTTCCTGTTGCAAAATAAAGCACCAATAAAAGCTTCTAAACACAACTAGACATGTTACAGCAGAAATATGATCCGGAATTGTGGAGAAATTTACAACATCAGTAACCAAGATTTCATGTTTCCCTGATGTTAGCATGTAGCTACATGCAATGGGCTACTTGCAGCCAGGGGAGAACTGTAATGGAGAACAGTGGCACTTTCTCCCATACAAAAATAAAATTAAATAACCAATTAAAGCTTCTAAACACAACTAGACATGCTCCAGAAGAATTATGATTCAAAATCAGGAAGAAATTAACAACATCATCAACCAAGATTACATGTTTCCCTGATGTAGCATGTAGCTACATGTATGTAACTAGTGTAACTGAAGCTGGGGAATGACTGTAACGGAGAACAGCGGCACTTCCTGCTGAGAAGACTCACCTATAACAGCTTGTAAACACAACCGGACATGTTACAGCAGGAATCTGATCCCAAATTGGGGTATAGCATGTTAGCATGTAGCCTCATGTAACAGTGTAGGCTAATGTAAACACTTGCAGTAGCATGCCTGGAGCAGATGATATAAAGAAAGCTGACGTTAGTTTGTCTCGAATCCTCTTATCTGCATTTCTTTTTACATTTCTCTTTTTGCTGTCGAGTAAGATGATGTAAGTCTCAAGAAAATTAAGGCTGAAAATGGTCTAGAAAAAGGCGTAAACACAGTGGGATGCCAATGACATCATGCTCAAACCAAAAACCAACTGCAGGTGCTGCTTCCAACATTTTCAACCTCACTTCCAATCACACTGCTGCCTCAAGATTTCCAAAGGCCCCCTCGTCCCGACATCCTGGTGAGACTTTCCCCAGCCCTTGGTGACTTTAACGAGGCAGTGGTTTAGCTATGTGGAAATGATTAAGGTCACCTAAAAACAGCTGCAGCTGAGCTGAATGGGATCCAGTGTCTCGCTCAGGGACACTCTGGCAACTTTGGGGAGCGATGCAAGTTGCAGTCATCTCCTCTCACATAAGCTTCCC